CCTAATACACGCACGTAAGCTAACATACACACGTGATCTAGTATAGGTGTGTGAGCTAACATACACACGTGATCTAGTATAGGTGTGTGAGCTAACATACATACGTGATCTAGTATAGGTGTGTGAGCTAACATACACACGTGATTCTAGTATAGGTGTGTGAGCTAACATACATACGTGATCTAGTATAGGTGTGTGAGCTAACATACACACGTGATCTAGTATAGGTGTGTAAGCTAACATACACACGTGATCTAGTATAGGTCTGTGAGCTAATATTTACACCTGAAATGATATGTACACGGAAGATGATATACACATAACTTGTGAGCTAGTATAAACGTGCGAGCTAATGTATGCATACTAAGCTAATACATATACGTGAGCTAATATTTAGTTGTATTTGCTTGAAACCTGATCCACGCCATCTATCATTGTTCTGATCAACTTTGAAGCTAAACACATGGTTTGAGTAAAACTGCGAATATAGTATTTACAATAAAAATGGTTTGGCAGTTTTTTTATTGTTAAAACACGAGACGAGAAGGGAAGGTTGTAAAAAAATCGATAAATTTCTAAAAAGGCATATTAAATGTAAAGAATTATATGAATGTTTAGCGAAAAACAAAAGTTAAAAGTTGAAAGGACAAGGAAAGATGGAAAAAAACAACTATTTCATCCTGAGAATCGTGAAATATTTTGTCTACTACTACCCCAACTCTCTCTCTCTCTCTGTGATTCCCTCCTGCCGCTGGCCAATTTGTCTTAAACGTTGTAGGCATTTTTAATCTACCACAATCTACAAAATTGTTTTTTTTAGCGTAGAGCCACTTTGGGCTATCTGCTGGGTACACCGCATGGAATCAAACCCCGGATGTTTTCGTTGTAATTCAGTAAACGTACCACTGATGCACCGAGGGACGTTCTCAAAATATATAGACTATTTCAGAATATTAACCTGAAAGTAAATATCGAGGCTTAGCAGAGCTAACAGAATATTATCCAGAAAGTAAATATCGAGGCTTAGCAGAGCTGACAGAATATTATCCTGAAAGTAAATTTCGAGGCTTAGCAGAGCTGACAGAATATTATCCAGAAAGTAAATCTCGAGGCTTAGCAGAGCTGACAGAATATTATCCAGAAAGTAAATCTCGAGGCTTAGCAGAGCTGACAGAATATTATCCTAAAGTAAATCTCGAGGCTTAGCAGAGCTAACAGAATATTATCCTGAAAGTAAATCTCGAGGCTTAGCAGAGCTGACAGAATATTATCCAGAAAGTAAATCTCGAGGCTTAGCAGAGCTGACAGAATATTATCCTGAAAGTAAATATCGAGGCTTAGCAGAGCTGACAGAATATTATCCTGAAAGTAAATCTCGAGGCTTAGCAGAGCTAACAGAATATTATCCAGAAAGTAAATCTCGAGGCTTAGCAGAGCTGACAGAATAGTATCCTGAAAGTAAATATCGAGGCTTAGCAGAGCTGACAGAATATTATCCAGAAAGTAAATATCGAGGCTTAGCAGAGCTGACAGATTTTTATCCTGAATTTAAGACTTAAGGCTTAATGAACTGACAATCCCCACGAGAATAATTGCACACTCAATTCTTAGTTGTCCGAGAAAGATTCCAAGTACTGTAACTACGTAGAACAGTATTGTTAGAAAACACACGAAGACTCGTGTAGAAGGGTGAATAGGGAGGGGAAAACAGTCATAATGAAATTTGTAAAGAAATAATAAATACATCACGGGCTTTTAGTGTAACATTTTGAGCATAATCTTTGAGACAGAAGATCGCCTAAGGTTTTAAAATTCTCTCAAACATTTACATCACGTCAAAAGACTGTATACTTGTTTGTTTGTAATTAAGCACAAAGCTACACAACGGGCTATCTGTGCTCTACCCACCACGGGTATCGAACCCGGTTTCTTTAGATTGTAAGTCCGCAGACATACCGCTGTGCCATTTGGGGGCAAGACTGTTTGTAAAGTTCTTATTGGTTTAGTAATAATCTATTGTATTTTCTTCTTGTTCTCTATAGGTTCCAATAAGCTTCTTAGTAACACTCCTACGAAGATGATTAGAAGCTGTTCCCATGACAACCTGAGCAGTAAAGGTAAAAACATAAAGATGACAAAAGGATATGTTAGAATTCTAAAAAAAAAATATATATATTAAAAGATCATTAACTTAAAAATAAAACTCATGCCTATGCGAAATCATACCTAACTTATTACTGTGGGGAGATATCAACACCTAAATTATTATTGTGGGGAGAGATCAACACCTAACTTATTACTGTGTGGAGAGATCAACACCTAAATTATTATTGTGGGGAGAGATCTACACCTAACTTATTACTGTGGGGAGAGATCAACACCTAAATTATTATTGTGGGGAGAGATCAACACCTAACTTATTACTGTGGGGAGAGATAAACACCTAAATTATTATTGTGGGGAGAGATCAACACCTAACTTATTATTGTGGGGAAAGATGAACATCCAAATTATTATTGTGGGGAGAGATCAACATCCAAATTATTATTGTGGGGAGAGATCAACATCCAAATTATTATTGTGGGGAGAGATCAACATCTAAATTATTATTGTGGGGAGAGATCAACATCTAAGTTATTATTGTGGGGAGATATCAACATCCAACTTATTATTGTGGGGAGAGATCAACATCTAACTTATCATTGTGGGGAGAGATCAACAACCTAACTTATTACTGTGGGGAGAGATCAACATCTAAATTATTATTGTGGAGAGAGATCAACATCTAAATTATTATTGTGGGGAGAGATCAACATCCAAATTATTATTGTGGGGAGAGATCTACATCTAAATTATTACTGTGGGGAGAGATCTACACCTAACTTATTATTGTGGAGAGAGATCAACATCTAACTTATGCATTACATAGATATTTTTCTCATTATATTTATTTACATTATTTGTTGTTAAAAGCAAAGCTTAACAATGGACTATCTGGGTTGTACCCACTAAAGGAATCGAACCTCGAATTTTAGCGTTATAACACCCCCACCCCCCGAAACTTATCTGGGGTAGGGGTGTATATTCTGTAGAAATATTATAGTATTTGATGACAATACGTAATTTTGGTGTCTATATGTAATAGAATAACTTTACCCAGGTTTGAACCCTGAAAAGGTAACAAATTACCTTCGTGAAAATATTGATTTTCTCGAAGAATACGTCGTCAACAATGTCGACTTAGAACTTCTAGAAAGGTGGATGATCCGAGGTGTTCAAAAGTCTCGCAACAGGTCACAGTCTGTGGACGTCAATGGTAACGTGATATTTCCTACTTGTTTTCTTTATATGTTTTGGGCAATAATGAATGTATTGATGACCGTACTTGAGCTGTCTTTATAATATCCCACCGCTTCGTATCGTCAACATTATTTTGAAAACGATCTTATTAGCTGAGTCTTCGAAATTGTATATAGATGTGAAGTTTCGTAAAAAATAGTTATTCGTTGTTAAACGCATAGCTACACAATGAGAAATCTATGCTGTGCCCACCACGGGTATCGAGACCCGGTTTTTAAAGTTATAAGCCTCCTGACTTACCGTGGAACCATTAGTGGGCGTTAGAAAAAATTATTGTTCGTCACAAGAAGAATCAAATTAAATTATTTTGTGACACAGGAAGAGCTGTGTAATATCACAAGGGGAGCTCCACTAAGTTACAAGTAGTTATGTTGTCCCACAAGGAGAACTATACTAAGCTATCAGCTCAAGAGATTGAAACAATGTATGTTTAGAACGAGTTATAAGCTAGACATTTAAATAATGTGTGTTCAGGAGAAATTGAAGATTTAAACAATGTGTGTTCAGGATAAACTAGAGATATAAACAATGTATGTGTAGGACGAGTTATAAGCTAGATGTTTAAATAATGTATGTTTAGAACGAGCTATAAACTAGAGATATAAACAATGTATGTTTAGGACAAGCTATAAACTAGAGATTTAAACAGTGTTATGTTTAGGACAAGATATAAACAATAGATTTAAACTGTGTGTGTTTAGGACAAGCTATAAACTAGAGATATAAACAATGTATGTTTAGGACGAGTTATAAACTAGAGATTTAAACTATGTGTGTTTAGGACGAGTTATAAACTAGAGATATAAACAATGTATGTTTAGGACGAGTTATAAACTAGAGATATAAACAATGTATGTTTAGGACAAGTTATAAACTAGAGATTTAAACTATGTGTGTTTAGGACGAGTTATAAACTAGAGATATAAACAATGTATGTTTAGGACGAGTTATAAACTAGAGATTTAAACAATGTTATGTTTAGGACAAGATATAAACAACAGATTTAAACTATGTGTGTTTAGGACGAGCTATAAACTAGAGGATTAAACAATGTGTGTTCAGGATAAACTAGAAATGTAAACAATGTGTGTGTTTGAGACGAGCTATAAACTGTAGATTTGTACATTGTGTGTTTAGGACGTACGGAAAGGAAGACAAGCCTGTCTCGCTGGAAAGTAAGTTTTTCTTTCAAATTTTATAATATAGATTAAAAAGATGAATGTGATTTTGAAAAATATTCAAGAAATTTTTACTTCTCACTATTATAAGTCAGTTTATATATTACTGTAAATATTTCAAAGTTAGTCGTTTGTTTTGGTACTAATGCTGCAATTTCTTGGAGGTAGAAATTAAAATAACATTTTGGGAAAAATTAGTTTTAAGAAAACTTCACTCTGATAAAGAATAATGCGGCCATTTTTTTTCTTCAGATGGTTGAAATACAGAGTAAAGAAATGTAGTCTATTTATCGAAGACAAACTTTTCAGGTTCGCGTTCCATTTCTTGTTCAAACAAATCCAGGCAAACAAAAGACGACAAATCTGGGACCAAAAATTAATATTTTAAACTCGTACCCATTAATGGATGTTTTTCTGGTGCAACTGTTTGACAGTTTCAAAGGAAGAAAACACTGGTGAAGTTAGGAATTGAGATTATTATAAATTATATAATTTTAACAATACGTTTTTCGTGTACTACCGACATTAGCTACAACTACTACAGTCTGAGAATCACTGATTTAAGTCTTGGGACGAATAAGTTAACTGTACAGAACTTCCCGACAAGTTTTTGTTTTCTTCCCTCTAGTTTTGAGTCAATGTGGTCCAGACAAAGTTTTGTTTTCTTCTTTTTAGGTTTGAGTCAATGTGGTCCCGACAAGTTTTTGTTTTCTTCCCTCTAGTTTTGAGTCAATGTGGTCCAGACAAAGTTTTGTTTTCTTCTTTTTAGGTTTGAGTCAATGTGGTCCCGACAAGTTTTTGTTTTCTTCCCTCTAGTTTTGAGTCAATGTGGTCCAGACAAGTTTTTGTTTTCTTCCCTCTAGTTTTGAGGCAATGTGGTCCTGACAAGTTTTTGTTTTCTTCTTTTTAGTTTTGAGTCAATGTGGTCCCGACAAGTTTTTGTTTTCTTCCCTCTAGTTTTGAGTCAATGTGGTCCAGACAAGTTTTTGT